CTCGTGAAACGAAGGGTTCAAGCACACACGCCCGTGGTTCCTTGTCAAGCCGTTGGCAGGCTGCTCAGCGATGCACCCATGTGCCACCCACCCTCTGTGAGGTGGGGACAGCAGCCCAACCCTGGGGGCCAGTGGGGCAGTGTGGTGACAAGGTGTGTGGAGGGCTGGCCACCAGCAGCCACTGAATAAGCCAGCGTCTCATCCCATCGTCCCCAGGAAGGGATGAAAGATGGCCTTGCTTTGGGATCCTCTGGAGGTCCCTTAGGCACCCCTTTTCTGGACTCTGTTCTGAGGAGGTCGCTGCAAAATGGTCAGCTCTGCCCTGGCCTGCTCCCAACAGCTGACATCCTAGAAAAATAAAGGAGCTTCCCGTGGCAGTCCGCCCTGGCAGCCAAAGGCTGGCACAAGACATCGTGGCATTGCCAGCAGGAAGCAGGGGTGGCCCGGCCTCAGGAACACTGTAGTTGGACCCCCCAGGAAATCCCCCAAATCTGACCCAAAGGGCTCCCGAATTCAAGGCCAACCTGGACAGAGGGCAGGGTCTGCGAGAACTGGCTGGATGAGAGGGGATAGGGCAGGGACGGAGCAGGCAGGACGCCTGTCCGCAAACAAGAGAAACAACCCGGTCAGCGTCTGCTTGGGAGCCTTGAGGGTGGGGTCCACAGCAAGGTGGGCTCAGGTCTGGGCAGCTGGGGGCTCCATGCCTCCTGCCCTCTGCCCAGCCAGGCTGTGTGGCCTCACCCTCAGCCAAGTGACAAGCTGCCTGCAATATTCCCCAGGTCCCAGCCCGGGGGTGTCAGTGTCCACACAAGACAGCATCTCCTTCCCAGGCGGGCTGTGGCTTTTCTGAGCAGCCCCCAGACGATGTCTGCTAACATCTCAGGAGCCATCCTGGATCCGTCACTGGCGGGCAGGACGGAACAGTCTCACCCGGCTTGGGAACATCGCCCGGGGACAGTGAGAGTGACGGTCACAGGGAGCCTCTGCCCACCGGTTAGCTCCGTAACACTGACTGTGGGGGGGCTGTCTGGGGGGGTTCCCCTCGAGGGAGACGGGGGCTGGGTCTCATCCTGAGAAGGGGCAGGGCAGCCACAGCTCAGGGGCCGTGTCAGGGCCTGGAGGTCTATGGAGAGCAGAGGCCAAGGCTGCTTTTGCTCAGTCCGCTCGTACGCGAGAGCCTGAGACGGCGTGGGTGGGGAGGGCGACTGCCGGAACTGCCGTGCGCTGACAGGTGTCTTTTATGTGGTCTTGTAACCCCCACCAAATGACTGGGTGGGTGCAAATCAGGAGCTTGGAACACAAACAAGGGACTGGTCAGTTTTACCCAGAGGCGGAGGGGGGACCCATGACCAAGAGTGAGCCGGGAGCAGAGCACGTGCTTTGGGCCTGGGGTCCCTGCGCTGAGAACCTCCGAGACCCAGGAGACAGACAGGGAGCTGCAACAGCAGTGAGGGCGGCAGCAGCACAGAGCGGCCGAGAGCAGGAACCAGGAGAGGAGCACAGCCAGCCACGGAGCGCGAGGTGACGGGGCGTGAGAAGATGACCATCGCTGCCCTGATAACCTCCCAGCTGTGAGGATGGCCTGAGCTCTGCGGCAGCCAGTGCAACGCGTTACTGACTCAGCAGAGCCGGGGGAGCGACGGCCGGGTCAGGACTGAGGCGGCTGGAGACAGGAGGTGTCTGCCCCCACCTCACAGAACTGGCCTCGGCTGCTGTTGACAGGGGAAGTCTCCTGGTGAAGTCAGAAGAGGTAAGCCACGCCCGCATGTTGTCGTGTTAGGAACACTGACAGGTGGCTGGGTGGGGCCAGCAGGAACGGCCCAGTATGGTGGGGAGCCACTGTCCACAGCGACTGTGTCATTGGTGCGTTGAGTGGATCCTGACTCAGTGACCCCTTGTGACAGAGAACTGCCCCACTGAGCTTCCTACACTGTCATCTTTTGGGAGCTGATGGTCAGGTTTCTCTCTCACGGAGCCACCAGTGGTTAGCAGCCCAGCACTTACCCAGCATGCCACCAGGATCCCTACAGTCACTATCACTTCTAAAAGCCTGTTGCCGTGGACTCCAGCCCAGGATGACCCCACGTGTCAGAGCAGAACTGCGCCCCACGGGGCTTCAACGGCTGGTTCTTTCCAAGTAGATTGTCAGGCTCCTCGGGGGGTACTCAAACCACTAACCTTTGGGTTGCAGCCAAGTGCACTGACTGCACCACCCAGTGGCTCTGGAACGACCGCAGCTGATGCTGGGCGTCGAGTCCATTCCGACTCCTCACACCAGGGGCTCCGTAACAACCACAGTTGATGCTGGGCGTCGAGTCCATTCCGACTCCTCGCACCCCACGCACCAGGAGGCCCGTAAGGTGTCCTGGGCTGCAATCTGTGGAATCCTAGCACCAGGTGTTTCTCCTGCACAGCAGCTGGGAGGGTTCAAGTCCCCAGCCTTCCACTTAGCAGCTCAGCACCTGACTGTCACAGCACCAGGGGTCCCACTTCCTGGCTGTACTGAGAGGTGGCCGCGGGCTCCACAGGCCGCCTCCCCGGGCGCCCAGAGCCCGGGGACCCTGGAGTTGGAATAGGCGGAACTGGCACCATGAAGGGTCCCAGACCACTCTGTGCTTCTTTCCAATACAGTATTTATCTGCTTCTCCGATTATAAAAATGATACGTTATCAAGGCAGGCACCTTAGAAAACACAGATGCCCACCAAGGAAAAGGGCAGTGCCCGTCCTCCCAGTCCCCAGATGCAGGTCCCTCACAGCAACATCACAAACGAGCCACAGACGAGGCTCCTCCGGGAGTGGGCGGGGCACGAGCAGAGCCCAGGCCGGCACTGAGACAGCTCACCAGGCCCAGCCTGCACCTCGTCCTCAGCCTGCAGAGGGCAAGGCCAGCAGAGGGCAAGGCCAGACACCGCGGCCCACCAGGTCCGCTGCAGGGTGAGGGCAGCCGCTCACCAATGGCAAGAGCTGGCCGCAGACACTGGACAGGCAAGTGCGGGGGCAGTGCAGGGTGAGCCCCCACAGCTCGCTCCGTGCTTCCAGACTGACAGCCACCCTGGGCCAGGAAAGCTGTGGAGGGCTGTGTGCCAGAGAAAAGCCCGAGACCACTGAAGCCGCAGAGGGCTGAGCAGACGTGCCCCCACCCACATACACTATGCATCAAACACGGGGCAGGGGCAGGGTCCCAGACGGACCCACGAGTCTCCCCCGCCACAGCACCTGCTGCACAGTCTTTGCTCAAACCCCCAGTCATCACCCGTTTTTTTTTTCCTTCTTCTTTGTTGTTGGGAAGATATGCAGCACCCCACGGCTAAAGTGGCAAGAAGGCCACATCTTCTGACCCCTAACCCCACAAGAGGAAGACAGAATCATCATCAGTAGCCCAAGGCCTATCCTTCCAGACCAGACCTACTGCCTCCCTCCAGCCCTTTCACCAACCCTGACACCAACCATTCCTCCCGCAGCACTCACCACCTTCCTGCTGGGTTCAATAATTCACTGCAGTGGCCACACAGAACTCACAGATTATAGGGTTTATTAGGGTAGCACCAGGCTACAATTCAAGTTAAAAAAAAAAATGCTCAGTCTCTCTCCCGGCAGTGCGTGTCCCCTGGTGTCTCACTCAGCAATGTGGGTCTCTTGCGTCTCTTTCCCAGCAGCACGTGTCTCTCAGGAGCACGTGTCTCTTTCAGCAGCACGTCCTTCTCAGCTAGCAGTCAGTTCTGCCTCTAGAAGGCCTCCTCTTGAGCCCGGCAGAGAGGCCAAACTAGCCAATCACAGCATCAGAATTCTAAGCACCTGAGAGCGAGCGAACTTCCCAGAACATTGCTTTGTGCCACTGCCCACAGAAATACCCCAGGTGGATGATTTTTACAATCAGGAGCTCCTCAGTTGCTCACAGCAAATTCCACCATGGAGTTAATAAAGACTTATGGCTAGAAAAGCCGTACCAGGTAATTTTCTACACCGCACCCACACACACCACCCAACTATTTGTACAATTCAGGGACAGTGGGGACCGTCTCTACATGCTGCCACCATTCACACCCTCAAGGTGTCCCTGCCCTAACCCGAGCCCGCGGTCCCACGTGATCCCACAGAGAAGTCTGTGAAACAACACAAGGCACAGGGCAGACATGGACCAGCCCAGCTCAACCACAGCCCAGCACTGACAGGCCTTCTGGTGTGAGGTTTAAAGATGGTCTCAGGGCAGTGGTTTTAATGGAAGACGGGGGAAAGGCTGCAGGCTCCCATGGCAAGGTGGCCTCTCTTCCTCTCAGTGACACAGTTGGCCACCTTGGATCCCCTGAGCGTCACCACGTAGGCACCAGATCATGCACCAGTGCCATCTGGAACCCAGGCCCAGGTGCCTGGCTCCACGCTGAGCCGACCTGCGCGTGCCCCAGAGGCGGCGGCATGGCGTGCTGCTCAGACAAAGAAACTCCAAGCTCTGGACCAGCCACCTCCCAGGTCTGCCTCCTCTTCTGTCGAATGGGCCACTGGAGGGATCAAGTCACACCTGGAAGAGGCCAGGCACACAGTGAGACCGGGGAGTCACCACAATCACCACTACTCCCCAGGACTCCTGTCACAGCCTCCCCCCGTCTTTCTCATTTTCTTACAAACTCTTCTAAGTGGTCAGTGCAGGCCCGAGTGGGACCCCACCCGGACCACCCCCAGTCTAGAACCAGCCAGGCCAGCTCTGGAGAGGACCATGAAGACACCAGGTGTGCCGGCCCAGGCACCGCCGTCCAGCAGGGGCCCTGGTCACAGCCTCATCAGACTGCGGGGCACACAAAAGCCCCACAAAAGAGGGGCCTGTGTGGAGAGGCCTGGGGAACGGCAGGCAGAAACCCTCAGGGGACAGAGGCCCTGTCACCAGCCACACCAGCCCCTCCCACAGAACGAGTGCCCCCATCATTGTTTTGCCTTTAATCACAGTTTCAAACATGTAACATACGGACGTCTGTTCCCGGTGTCTCGTCTATTCATCTGTCAGCCTCAAAATGAGAGTCCAGAACCTTCCGCACGAATTTTAAAATCTGGCTGAACATTCAGTAACGAACAAAGCTGAAAACAAGACGGTATTTTTGAATCTCGTGATGTTTTACTCCCAAGTTAAAACCTAACTCTCATCTCTTGTCCATGTCACTGTTTCTTGTCCACGTCACCAACTGCTCTGGGGCCCCAGCACAGCTGTAGCAGAGACACCGTAAGGGGGTGGCCTTAACGAACAGAGATTTATTTTCTCAGCTCAGGAGGCCAGAGCTCCAAGTTCAGGGCACCAGCTCCAGGGGGAGGCTTCCTCTCTTGTCCCCTCTGGGAAAGGTCCTTGTTTCTTTAGCTAGTTCCTGGTCCTCGGATCTCTGTGTGGGTCTTCCCCATCTATTCCCTCTCAGCTCTTTAGTCTCTTTTATGTCTCAAGAGACTGACTGAAGACGCGCCCTCCACGAATCCTGCCTCACCAAGACCACCCAACCTGATGGAATGCTAACCACAGGCCCGAGGTGACAGGCTGGCAGCACGGATCTCTGGGGACACAGTTCAGCCCCTACCACCATCCACCCAGGAAGGTCTAACACCCACTCTCACGTCGTGAGCCACACGCAGCCCCAAAGTGCACCAGAGGCCGGGCCCGCCACGTCTTAGGGAGGCACACTGGCACTTCCACTGAAGAGAACAACACACCTGTTTAAACTTCCCTCTGATTCTGTCCAAGTCCTCATGGAGTCTGTCGTAAGTAGGGTCATCGTAGGGGAACTTCTCAATCATTCCTATCAACGCCTCTAAGACCTTCATCTTCTTGCTGCAAGGCACGAAAAGACAGACTTTAGTCCTGGACACACAGCCTTGCCTCACGCTACAACTATGCCGATCATGTACTTAAGGCAGCGGAGTGCTACCACCACCTCAGATCTTAACCAGGACACGCACGTTTGTCACACATCGTGGTGTCTGTTCACCCAGCAGCGTGCTTTCGTCCACGCCCAGTGCCTCCCTATTAAGGAGGGATCTACAGCTGACTGACCCGGACAACCTGGGACAACCCGCAGACCGACGGTTCTCTGCGTGGCGAGCATGGTGACAGATAGAGAGGGAAGAAGGGGTGGTCGGGCAGAAGCCAGCCTGCTCTGGGCCTGAGGCTTTTCCAGGGTTTAAAGACTTCATGCTAGTGGCCTTTGGGAGTACAGCTCTGGGGAGACCAGCGAGCCGCCCCTCCGAGGGCAGGAGCCGTCATCTGAGCTCTGCCGGGAGGTGACAGGGGGGAGTGCCGGCCAGGCTCTGGGCCGTCGGGACTCCCGAGCCTCAGTGTCCTCATCTGCCAGGTCGGGAGAATGACAGTGGCCTCACAGGGAGTCACCTCGACACTAGATGAGCCCGGAACGCAGGACAGAATGGGCACTCAGTCAGTGCCAGTCCCCACAGTTCCTCGTGTCCTGGAGACCAGTGCTCCTACCCATCCACACACATGGGCCCCAGCGGCCCAGGCCTCTCAGCTTAACGAGCACACAAGGTTTGCCTCGCGCACCGTCCTCTGACCAGCCGTCCGCACACAGCAAACTGAGCAGTGCTGAGAGGGAAGCGCCCGGGAGCAGTGAGTTCAGGTTCACGGAACACGTGGGCAGGAGGGTGGGGCTGGCACACAACCCAGGAATGTCGTCAATGCCACTGGACCCGTGGCTGAACCAGGGGGTGTGCTGCTGCGTGTGTTCTCAACAACTAAATAAATAAAATCCGAAGGGGAAAAACAGCCACACTCAGCCGAGCATCTAGTCGCAGGGAGGGGAGGGGAGGGCCGCTGGGGGGCAGCAGGGCCTCCCGGAGGTGCTGCCCAGGCTGCAGGGATGAGGTGCTGCGGCCCCTCCGGTCTGCACCCTGCTCAGTGGCACCTGCCGGTACACGCCATGAGTGCACTACGTGGGAACACAGGCGACGGGACTCTCAGCACCGCCTCAGGAAAAAGGAGAAAAGGCAGGGGCTCCCCTGCCCGCCCTCTACCCAGCTGAAGGAATCAGACCGACAAAGGGGACCAAAGAAACGTCGACAGAGCGGCACCAGTGCTGGGAAGAACGCAGGGAGCACTGTGGCCGCCAGAAGGGCCATCTGTGGGACACGCAGCCAGAGTGCTCCCATGCGGCGGGCACGGCCACTTGAGTGGGTCTCACTCACTGGTCATGTTGTCAGAAGGGACCATTCCCTGGAGAAGGATGGCATGCTTGGGAAGGTGTAGGGTCAGTGAAGGGGAAGGCCCTCAACAAGATGGACTGACACAGTGGCTGCGACGATGGGCTCGGGCACCGGCCGTGACTGTGTCATGCTTCAGGATGAAGATGGGTGAGAGCAGGTCTGGGGCGCTGTGCAGGCAGCACTGTAACCTGCCTGTGGGAGGCGACCCCGACCCACAGCGGCCCCACGTGTGTCGCAGCAGAACACAGAGCCGTGCTCCATGAACAGTCAGTGGTTGATGTTTCCCAAAACAGATTCCCAGGTTCTTCTTCCAAGGCAGCTTGGATGTGCGCGAACCTCCAACCCTTTGGTTAGTGGCCAAGTGCACACCATGCACTCCCCACAGTGACTCCGGAGTGGTGAGAACCGTCAAAAAAGCAGAACTAAAACCCATTCAAATGACAATGGCTGGATTTACTCAGCGCGTACAAGCACCAGAATGTGTCCAACACATTCCAGCACCATCTCACCGGCAGACTCAGCTGTCTGTTCAGAAAGTAGGGAAAAGAGGCACCTTTCTGAGCCCAGTCAGGCCAAGACTCTGTCCCGTTTATGGTCAACTTGGAAAGAGGAATGAGGGGACACTAACTTGAACATTAGAGGCAGGCTGTCTAAAAGCCATCTGGGGCACTGACACTCCAAGGGAAGGGCTAGGAGGGACGGGTCTTACTGGGAGGGACGGCAACCAGCGTCATCAGCACCTAAAACGCGCCCGGCATTCCCTGTCATTTCTTTCAATCTCCTGAGGACATTCATGCTTGGCCTTGATTTTGAGGACATGGAGATTCAGATAAATCCCCAAGGTCAAAGTCAGAAAGCCATGGAGCTGAACTAGGCACAGAGAACGAGAAGTCTCAAACGTTACCTGTCTTTCTCGGTGGTACAACTGTGTAAGAGATACTTCCACGCAAAAGCAAAACCTTGATAGCACCCAATCTGTAAATGCAGAAAATTGAAAAAGAGTGAAATTCACAAGCAACTAGCTACTGTGTCTAATTCCCAAGCTCTCAGAAAAATAAAAGGTGCAGGTGGAGGGAAGGGTACTGGTTACACCACTGTGCCAGGAGCCCATCAGTGGGAGTCAAGTTAAGTCATCAGGACGGAACCGGCCTCCAAGGTGGCCTCGGTGGTGTGACCCTATCCCTGGTATTCATATCCTTGGAGAGTCGTCACACGGCCCCAGGATGGTTTGTGCAACCAAGAAAACCGAGAGGATGGGAGGGGTGTGACTTCAGAGTCAAGGTCATAAAAGATGTCATCGCCCCAAATGGTTAACGATTACTTTAAAACAAAGATGAGAATTAAGGGGCAGGAGACTAGAATAACGGAAACAGAGCAAGCAAGAGTAGAGACAATGAGAACGTTCCTGCCTTGTGAAGAACGTGGCCTATGCCACCAAACAACTTGTTCAGGAATTGCTGAGTGGGAAGCGAACCTGCTGTGTTAACCAAACACACAATGAAATAGTCAAATTTCAAAAACCAGTCACTCCTGCCTTGCTGTCTTGGACTGCTGGCTCTGGCGGAAGCTGGCCGCCATGTCAGGAGCACACTCCAGCAGCGCTACGGAAGGACCCACGTGGCAGGGAGCTGAGGCCTCGCACCACGGCCAGGTGGGCCACCACCATGGGGGTCCAGGCTGCAGCCTCGGGTGACATCCTGACGGCAAACCTCGGGAGAGACCCTGAGCCAGAACAGCCAGCTAAGCTGCTCCCGAGCTCCCTCAGAAACCGCGAAAGCAAACGCTTGCTGTTTTCAACACACGCCTGTGGTGTAGTAAATTACTTCAGTGTGGCTTTTCTACCCATAAGTCTTTGTAAACTCCAAGGTGGGATTTGCTATGAGCAACTGAGGAGCTCCTGATTGCTGAAGGTGTCACCTGGAGTATTTCTGTTGGGAGTGGCACAAAACAGTGTTCTGGGAGGTGCCCACTCTCTCTCAGGTGCTTAGAGTTCTGATGCTGTGATTGGCTAGTTTGGCCACCCTGCCGGGCTCAAAAGGAGGTCTCCCGGAGGCAGAACTCTCTCTGACTGCTGGTTGAGGAAGACGTGCTGCTGAAAGAGACATACGCTGCTGGGAAAGAGATGCAAGAGACACGCATTGCTGAGTGAGACACTGAGGGACCAGCACTGCTGGGAAAGAGACTGAGAGACTGTTGGCCAAGGGACGGTGGGCTGGGAGAGAGACTGAGCGTTCTTCCTGAACTTGAGTTGTAGCCTGGTGCTTCCCTAATAAACCCTGTAACCTGTGAGTTCTGTGTGGCCACTGCAGTGAATTATCGAACCCAGGAGAGAGGTGGTGGGTGCTTTGGGAGGAACAGGTGGTGAAAGGGCTGGAGGGAGGCAGCATGTTTGGCCTGGCAGGAATAGGCCTTGGGTTATTGCTGTCTTCCTCTTGTGAGATTAGAGGAGGTCAGAACATGTGGCCTCCTTGCCGTTTTTACAGTTGGTGTCTGTTGGTGTCTGTTGCTGGCAACGCCTTTAGCAGCTATGGGTGCCCACGAGTCATGCCTGCCTCCGACTTGGCCATCAGGGCCACCTCTCTGGGAGGGCCAACCTAGGGCAACGGGCAGAGCAGGAGAAAAACAATGGATTGCATGCAGGTTGCACGGAAATGGAATCTTGTCACACGGCACAGGGCACCCGTTCTGTGGGCGAGAATGCAGCCGCCTCGAGACCAGAGGCGCCCCCAGGACACAACCTACAGCGAACCTGTTAAAGCAGGCATTGGTGTGAGGTGCAAACACGTCCCAGAAAAACACAACTATTTCCCCGGACAGAGAGTGACGGGAACTGGGGACTGGCTGTCAAAGGTGCAGACTCGTGAGACCTGGAAAACGCGGGCAGTCCCGGCGAGTCCCGCTCCCACGGGCCGCACCAGTGTGTGCTCACCAGGACCGGGCTTAGGGCCTCCCCAGTCTGCCCTCACCAGGACCGGGCTCGGGCCTCCCCAGTCTGCCCTCACCAGGACCGGGCTTAGGGCCTCCCCAGTCTGCGCTCACCAGGGCCGGGCTCGGGCCTCCCCAGTCTGCCCTCACCAGGGCCGGGCTCGGGCCGCCCCAGTCTGCCCTCACCAGGACCGGGCTTAGGGCCGCACCAGTCTGCGCTCACCAGGGCCGGGCTCGGGCTTCTGCAGCCTGCAGCATGCTCAGTGCTGCCACGCTGTGTCGTGTTTCTCTACCAACGCAGTATCCAATTTCAACAGGGAACTTGTCTGAGTCGCACCAAACCACGCAGTAACTCGTGAACGGTAGGTGAGAAGGACTCACGCCCACACGAGGTCCTCACTTACCTCGGATCCGATCTTGGCTCCGTGCAGCGTACCATGCTGTCTCCCTTCCGTGACACCCAGACGACTGCCCTCCACGTACCCCTCCTGAAATCCTTCCCCATGGAATCTGTGATGGAAAAGCAGCAGGCTTTGTCACGCGGACAGGAAAGCGGCTGTTTTCAGTAACAACCACTCCTCTTACGTGGCCTGACCCCAGCAGGACAAGCAGGCGAGCGATAGAAAGAGCCGAAAGACACGGGTTCCCGCCCCAGCTCCCTCACTTCCTAAGCCCATCCTCTGGGGACTCACTGGACCCCGTGAAGCCCAATTCCCCTTTCCCACGATGAGGAGAGTGGGCTTCACGAGCGATTCCCAAGCTTGGGGGAGGACCGGGCCCACTGATGGAAATCTCAAGGATCCAGACCCGCGAGCCTGGTCCCTAATTCTGCAGTAGAGCCCCGGAATCTCCTTTTCAAAGCCGCCTGGGTGGAGCTGCTGTGCGGCAGGTCAGGAACCCGAAGTCCCAAGGACCTCTAAGCATTAACGACTCCATCAAATGCTTCCAACCCCTGCCACGTGACAGGGCTTCTCGACACCCCACTAGAACAGCAGTGAGAAGTGCCATCCGATCACCACAAAATGCAAGATGACTGTGGCCCAGGGAAAAACCAAAGGCCTCTGGGCAGTCGATTCCACTCACAGCCAGTGTTTAAGGCAGAGCAGAAATGCCCCACTGGGTTTCCGAGGTGGCAGCTCTATGGAAGCAGACTGCCTCATCTTTCTGCTACGGAGCAGAGCGGCCAGTGGGTTTGAACCTCCAACGTCCTGGTTAGCAGCTGAGCACTCAAGCCTGCGCCACCAGGGCCCCCTGGCTGTGGTGTGTGGAGTATTATATGATGCAGGCACCGACTTTGAGGGTTCAATGGCAGAACTGGTGCCGTCTGAACCCACAGTCCCCAAAGGTGACAGCAGCTTCTCTCAGCCCCCCATGCGGGACACGCCTAACAGTTATGGGACCCTGGGGAGTGACTCTGCCTCTTCACCCGTGAAATCTGGGGAGTAACAGGCTCGCTCCCAAGTGGCGCTAAAAGAGCTATCTGGTGGGGGCACTCAGCTCAGCACCGAGCCACAATGGGCGCTCAATGCATGTCAGCGGCTGATTGTTTCTGCTCACCGCTTCCCGGGCTGACATGTATTGGGGGCCGGGCGCTGGAACACAGCCCCAAGGCAGCTCGCAGCCCGAGAAGGCCCCCAGGGGCTCGGGAGGGAAGGAGACGGCACGCTGGTCAGCAGCGTCATGAATACTGCCGTATGGCCCCCGATGAAGGAACAAGGCAAAGTGACAGCTCCCAGATGGCAAAGGTCCGTCCCACCCGAGGACGGGGCGTCCCCGGTGCAAGGGAGTCATCAGGCTGAACAGATGCTGGGGGCAGACCCTGCCGGGGAAGGCGGGCCCAAAAGAGCAGCTGGGCACGTGGCGGGCGAGGAATAAAACAGACTCCATGGCCTCCCGACCCTACACACGTCCCCAGCGGGACGCAGGCACGAGCGGCGGCGCCGCCCCGCGGCCCGCAGCAAATCCGCGGAAAGGACACCCAGCAGGGCGGGGTCCGGCTGCTGACGCAGCTCCGCCACCCACCTCTCATCTGCCATCACGATGGCGTCGAACATGTCCTGACTCCCAGCCATGGGGGCAGGAGGGCTCGTCCCTGCCCCTTGGGATCCCGTCACCCTGCTCTGCCGTCGCCAACACTCGAGGCTCGGGGAAAATCACCGCGTTTCCGAAGCAGCAAAGCCACTTCCGGGGGGGTGGCTGCGCGGAGCAGTCTGGGAAACGACGGCACGCGGGAGAGGCCAGAAAAGGCCTGCGGTGGGCGGAGCCGGGCTGGAGAAGCCCGCCTCGCGGCCCCTGAACCTCCCCTTTTGCTCCCGCGTGGACTGGTCCGTCCCGCTCGGCGAGTCCATCCGCCGCGGGGGTGGGCCGAAGGGGGGTGGGGGTGGGGAGACCCGAAACCCGCACTTTTACTTGTTAAAAAACAAGCAAATAGAACCGGCTTGCCAACAGTAGCTTAGAAGGAGCCACGGAAAATATTGGCAAAGTCATCAAGGAGCCAACTCCTCTGAAGACCAAGGTCCAGGAGGGATCTGGGGGAAAAGTTCAAAGAAAGGAGTCCCCAGGTTGGAGCCAGGATAGGGAGGAAGTCGCTGCCCCGGACCGGACCCTGGCGACCGAAAGCCAGAGGGGGCGTGGCCGCGGTGCAGTTAGACTTGAGACTACAGTGCACAGTGTTGGTGGTTGGACCTAATCCCATTTGGTCTGTTTCCATGGGACACAGTGGTACCGGAGAGCAGAGGCCACCTGACCATCTTAATAAACCGTTTCCGTGGAGCGGATTTCCACGCACGGCCATCTCATGTGTTACAGAGTAGAACTGAGCCCACGGGGTTTTCTTGGCTGTAATCTTTAGAGAAGCAGGACTTTTTATCCGCCGCGATGCTGGGCGCCACCCTTTCTGTTAGTGCAGCATAAACTGCACCACCTGCGGGTGATCATCCTTATACTTGGTGTACATGACAACTGATGCGTTTTACCGTCTGTCCTTGAATTTTTAACTGTTACTTGAAAACTAGGAGTAAAAAGGGTTTTGGTGGTGGTGGTGGTTGGTTTGTGTTTTAAGCAGAAGCATGGTAATTCACATATAGAGTCAAAAATCAATATTGCAAACCAAAACCCAACCCCATTGCCTTCTGATGGGTTACCTCACTTCCATTGAGTGGGTTTGACCCGCTAACCTTTTGGTGAGCAACCAAGTGCATTTGCTCACCCAGGGTCCCCAATCAATAGTAGATAATATTTATTCTGCAACCAAGAGCAACTAGCCCCTGCCCCAAGGCTTTCCACTCTCCTACCCCGCCCCCACCCCCACACCTCATAGTCATCACTTTGCCTTTCTGTTTTTAAAACAAGGTTTGGTTTTGGTTTGCGCACTTGTCATGTCCATGAGGGACACATTCTGAAAATAGATTTTTAAAAAAGTTATTTCAAGCATTCAGCTACCATGGAACATGCGTGTAAAACACCAGAGCCAACCCTGTCAAGATCAAGAAGCAAACAGGAATCGCCCACGTCATTTTTCCTAGAGGAGGCAGTCAACGCAATAAGACACGACACATAAATATAAAAAATATATCATCTGCAGGGGTGATGGTCCACCTCGACAGCCCCAGCAGCCACCCAAGACACTCTCAGAATTCACAACAGACTTCCGGAAGGGGCAGCGGAGTGTGTGCTGAACAGCAACTGAAAGTCACTGCTTTCCGTCATCCCAGCAGCAATCAGTAGTGGCCTGGATAGGAGCAAGGGGAGACCCACACTGTGATCATAATGAACTTCTTAGAAATAAGATTGCAGCAAGCTCTACGCGAAGGAAGCCAAAGATGTACCAATTATCCCAAACAGGGAAACCGAAGAAACCCAACACCAGTCAAAATTCCAGGGGCTCGGAGGGAAAGGTGCCAAAATGCCCGACTTTATTTGGGTGAATGAATTGGGAGAATAACCAAAAAGTTGTTTGTGTTTCCTTCACCCAGGTTCACGTGAGTCTCTCCCCTAGCTAGTGGTCTACCCTCCCTCCCCATCCACCCCGGTAACCATCAAAGATTTATCAGGAAGATTTCTTCTTTTGTGAAACTGTTTTCATGACTTTTTACAATAGTGGTTTCAAACAATATTTGTTCTTTTGTGACTGGCTAACTGCGTTCAGCATAATGGGCTCTTAAGTTCATCCGAGTTGTGAGATGTTTCAGTTTCACTGTTGTTCTTTCACATGGCATACTATGTCATCGTATGTATCCACCATACTTTACTGATCCATGCCCCCACAGATGGGCATGTAGGTTGTTTCCACCCTCTGGCTGGGATGAATAGTGCTTTGATGAACATGGTTTTGTTGTTAGGAGCCACTGAGTCCGCGGCAACTCACAGCGACCCCACGCACAACAGAACGAAATGCTGCCCAGTCCCACACCACCCTCACCATCCTTGCTATACTTGAGCCCATCATTGTGCACCCACCGTGTCAATCCACCTCGCTGAGGGCCTTCCCCTTTTTCACTGACCCCACACTTTACCAAGTATGACATCCTTCCTCAATGGATGGTCCCTTCTGACAACATGACCAAAGTACGTGTGACAAAGTCTGGTCATTCTCGTTTCCAAGAAGCATTCCAGCTGAACTTCCTCCAGGACAGATTTGTTCATTCCTCTGGCAGTTCATGGTATTTTCAGTGTTCTTCACCAGTGCCATAATTCAAAGGCATCAACTCTTCTTCGGTCTTCCTTACTCATTGTCAAGCTTTCACATGTGTATGAGGCAACTGAAAATACCATGGCTTGGGTTCTGTGCACCTTAGTCTTCAAAGTGACATTTGCTTCTTAACACTTAAAAGAGGTCTTTTGAACAGATATGCCCAATGCAACGTGACATGTGATTTCTTGACTGCTGCTTCCATGGGTGTTGATTGTGGACTCAAGTAAAATGAACATGAATGTTGTGGTTATGTTTGTGTGTCAACTTGGCTGGGCCTGGTTGAGTGGCTGAGCAGCTGGTGGTAGTTATTCCCCGTGATGAGACTGACAATCAACTCCATGGTGGCATCTACCACAAGCAGCAGAGTAGCTGCTTTGGGTATGTGGTTTGCTTCCTGTGTATAAGAAGCAGCTTTGGGAACCGTCTCTAGCTTATGGCACTCTTGGACCCTGCGTGTAGCTGTGTCATTGTTCAGCAGCCTGCCATGCTCTGCCAGTCTTGGGACTTACAATGGACTTAAGTTAATGGCCTGCTGTGTGGTTTGGTAACATCAGAACTGTGCCTTTTTACTTGTCAACCTTGGGCTTCTCAGCCTCAGCAGCCAGCAGCTGTCTGAGTGAAGAAAAGCTTCTAGCTCCGTGGGCCAGGAACAGGAGGCAGAGCTGGACCCCAAGATTGAGGGGCTTTCACCCAGCCCCTAGAACCTGGCACTTGAACTTGGACTTCTAGCCTCCCGAACTAGAAGAGAATAAACTCCTGTTTGTTTAAGCCATCCCATGTGTGGTATATTCTTGTCAGAGTGGCACTAGGGAACCAGCACAGGTGTGCATATATGTGTTCCTGTCATGGCTCTTATTTCTGCAGGATACATACCTAGAAGTGGGACATCTGAATCGCACGGCATTTCTGTTTCCAGCTTTTTAAAGAAGTGGCATGCCTTCTTCCACAGTGGTTGCACCATTCTACAGCCCCACCAGCAGTGTCTGAGGGTGCCAGTCTCTCCACGCCCTCACCAGCGTTTGTTTTCTACTTTTCTGAGCTTTGCCCTTAGTGCTGAGGTGAGATGGCATCTCGCTGTTTTGATTTGCATCTCTCTCAGAGCCAGCAATCACGGGCATTTTTTCATGTGTTTGTTGGCTCCCTGAGGGTCTTCTTTGGTCAAATATCTGATCATGATCTCTGTCCATTTTTTAATTGGGTTGTCTTTTTGTTGAAGTTGTCTATAAATTTTAGAGATTAGACCTTTGTCCAGTAAGTCATTGCCAAAATTTTGTCCCTGTGGGTTCTCTTTTTCATTGTTCTGGTGAACTCTGTTGATGTGCATAAGTGTCTAATTTTTAGGAAGTCCCAGTCATGGATTTTGTCTTCAGGTGTTTGTGCATTCTTAGTTATATTCGATTGTGTGTTTATGCCCCAAATTAGGGCCCCTAAGTTTGTCCCTATTTTTACTTTGATGATCTTTATGGTTTTAGGTTTGACGTTCTGGTCTTTGATCCAAATTGAGTTTGTTTTTGTATCTGGTGTGAGATATGGGTCCTATTTCTTTTTTCTGCAAAAGGACATCCAGTTTTGCCAGCACCATGTATTGATGAGACTATCTTTCCTCTTCATTAATAAGTTTTGTCCCTTTTATCAAAGACCAGCTGTCCATATGTAGATGGATTTCCTTCTGGGTTCTCAATTCTGTTCCCTTGGTCTGTGTGTCTGTCTTTGAACCAGCACCAGGCTGTTTTCACTACATGGCTGTATTGTAGGTTTTGAAATCAGGGAGTGTGAGGCCTCCTACTTTGTTCTTCTTCTAACCCAGAAGATTTTGAAAATGGAAAACTTGCCATACAATATGAAAAAATCTCAATAAAAGTAGCGTGGCATTTTGGTTCGTGGATAAAGCAATAAAATGGACTATGAGAAAATGGCCCAGAAGTGGCCTCTGGTCTGTGTCAAACCTTCCCACGTGGTAAAAGAAGAGTCACAAATCAACAGGGAAAAGGAGATACCAGTCAATGACCATAATGGAAAAACTGGTTGTTTAGGGAAAAAAATCCATTTATACTTCACACCATCCATCAGTGTGATTGCAGATGAATTAATAAGGAAACTGGAGGTCTGGTAGCATTGTGCCTAAGGCACTTGACTGCTAACCAGAAGGCTGGCGGTTCAAACCCACCAGCCACTCCTCGGAAGGAAGATGGGGCAATCTACTTCCATAGAGATACCGCCTCGGGAACCCAAGGAGGGGTCGCTGTGAGTCAGGTCTGACTCGATGGCACGTAACAACAACAACAACAACAAGGATACTGCAGAAAGAAAAGTCTATGCTGACAAAATCTAGATACAACATTTCAGTGAGTAAGGAGATGGTCCTTGACCCAGACAAAG